TTGCATCTCTCTTTTTCAAGATATTTATTAGCAAATGTTAGTTTTAAATTTTATAATAACAAAATCATCAAGAACAAAAACACATCTTGGGGAAAAAAAGAACCAATCTTCCAAAGAAGATAGTAGATACACCCTGGCTTCTTTCATTATTAATTAGAAAATTATGCACATGAATGCATAATCAAAAAGTATATTAATGTTGAAGTGTACCTTATTACCATGCATGATATACTTTTCTTGTTAAATAGAAAAATGTTCAATTAGTTTGTAAAGCTAGATAATATAAAAACATACCTCCAATATGCTCAGATATAATAGTATTAAAAAAAGTTTTTAAATCCATCTCACCATACTGAATGTAGGGGGGGGGGGAACCTATCACAGAACAGATATGGATAGTATACTTTTTATAGTATAGTTACTAATTTGGAATTATGGTGCAGGACAATATAATATTTTAAAGTGTCATTTTATCATAAAATGACTCCAATTTTAAGATGCACACTTTCCTTGGTACAGATCAAGTTGAAAGAAGAAAGGGGACTTCTGCATAGCATCCATCACTTGTGGATGGTGATCCTATTACAGAAGAAGACCATAGCAGCATATTGGCATGCTGGGTGTATCAAATTATTTTCCCTACTTTGAGGATCCACCTGGCCTAGACTCAGTGGCTGGCATTTCACCAGCATAGTAGTATTTGTTACATTGTTATAGCCATAGAGGTTCTTATGAAGTCTATAGAACTTTCCAAGTAGAATTTCTCAGGCTGTTCTCTGTTGAGAGCTGTCTCCGATACTGCTAGTAACTGCAGCCAAATTCTTTCCTGACTGGACATAGCAACAAATGTGTACAAATAAAGAATACATATTTGGCCCCTTTTAATTACTCAATCCACGGGGAAAATACACAGTTCCCTTACATGAGAATCTGAGTCACCACTGGTTAATCTCTAGGATTGACAAATGGAAAGATTTCATTATTTTATGTCAAACTACATCCACTATGATAAATAATAGGTGTAGTCTTTTCAATCGTTACAACAGAAGCTCAGAACATGGCCATATTTCCTATAGAAGCAATATGGGCATAATTAAATTATTTTATATGAATGTTCCATAAATTATATTTCTAGAAGTAGACGGTAATGAATGAAGTACAGTATTGTTTTTGACATTTAATTAGGTTTTAAATAAAACAGGACCCATTCATGTAATATAGGAAAATATATTCCAGAAATAATGTGGTAGAAAGAATTATGCATTTCATTTTTAAAGAGAATGAGCTAGCATATAGAAAATCTGGAAGGTTTAAAATAAAGTTACTCTTAATGTGTGGTGTCATTTTCATGGTGAATATACCTACTAACAAAATCAGCTCCTAAACGAATGTGATGAAATTCAAAAAAAGGAAATAGGTGATGCTATGGAAACTCAAAGTTACATGAAAGAAAAGTAGAGCTTTAGCAGTTTTAAAGAACAACAGCTATGCTGAAGTTTTTTCTTTTATATACCAGACTTGGTAGATTAGCTATAAACAGGCATTTGCACGTTGTCTGAAAACCAAAAATTAAAGACTAAAATATCTGCATATATTATATATGGAGTATTTTGAGAGAGGATGCATTTGAGTTAATGCTGACTCCTGGCAATTGTCTGGATTAGTCCATTGGACAACCATTTGTCTGAAATGGTGTAGGGTTTCCTGCCTGAGCAGGGGTTGGACTAGAAAACCTCCAAGATTCCTTCCAACTCTCTCGTTCTATTCTAGTCCCTGACAAGTTTTCTTGACAAGATTTTTTCAAAAGTAGTTTGTCATTACCTCCTTCCTAGGGTTGAGAGAGAGTGACTGGCCTAAATTTTCCCCCTCCTCCAAACTGGCTTTGTGTCTGAGGTGGGAATGGAATTCCCTGTCTATAGCCTGATGCTTTAACCACTGCACCAAGCTGGCTTTTATATGGAGCATAGTGAAAAGAATTTCATTCCTGGCTCTTTCCCATTCCTTCTATGCATTGCACTATTTTGACTCCTTTATCATTAACCCTCAAATTAAGGGATTTTTCCAGAAGAGCACATGAGCTGCACAGAGGAATTACATATGGGGAGAGGGGAACCTCTGGTAGGCAGCCATCCAGAACTTTCTGGGGGCTATCTGAAGTGGGAAGATACATCTAAGGAGTAGAATCTTATAGAAACTGGATAGGAATCTGAGCAGAAATGACTTCTGCTTCTGCTATAACATCATTTAAGCCAAGACATGATTTTTGATATATATATAATCGAACAGAGACAGAAACAAAAAACAAGATTTCATTGGATTCCTCTTGCTTCAGTTTTCCTTAAAATATATATTGAATATTTTTTATCCCAGTCTCAAAAAATTCCATTTTTTCCTTCAAACCTGCTATTTTTTCATATAATTAACTATGAAATTTAAGGAACACCACAAACCCAAAACACAATAAGAAAGAAGTAGAGCTGTAAAAGTATTCAAGCATGAATTCCATTAGGAGCAAATTTAGCTATTCTGTTTCCACTGGACTTCTCAGTGGCTTAGATGTTTGCATCAAATGAAATCTGATAGGGTTCATCTTTTCCTAATTAAAAATCTGCAAACACTCTCCAATTAAATTAAACTGAACTAAATTAAATTAAATTAAAACATGGTAATTGAAAGTTGCACGCAAACAACAGTATTTTTAAAAGCTAAGATAGTAAGACTATTGGCTGAAAGTATGAACTGCTATCTATATTATAATTGCTTATCTGGAACTTAGTCAAGATGCCTACATGAATTCTACTGCTGGTTCACCAGGAAATGGAACTTGCCTGGACTAGAAGTGATGACAAGCAGGACCCATTTGTTAACTATGTCGTATTCCCCCTGGGATACCTTCCCTTGTCATTTCTTCTTATATCAAAAATGCAATAATTATTTGTACTCTGTCCCTTATTGCTTATTAATATTGCTTATTGCTTTGATTTATTCAGTGTTTGTGGGGTGACTGTGGAGTTTATGGTCCAGTCAAAAACATTTCTTTGTGGGTTCTTTTGGGTAAATGCTGGGCTAGAAAAATTAGTAAGTTGTCATATTACTTTTTTTTTTAAAGATTGTTTTTCTGTTTCTAATAATAAGCCAGGTAGATTTTGACATGAAGTCCTAAGAATGATTTTTGAGCAGAGGTAACAGTGCTAGATTAATAACCTTGGGGTTTTATGGGTGGATCCCTCTATTTCATATTCTTCACGTTTTGAGCAAACTTTAAAAAGAGTTCAGAGCTTTATCTGCTTTTGCTATTTCTATCAGCATTTCTGTCTTAGCTCATGTCATCTAAGCTAATTACCTTCCTTACCAAGGAAGACACAAGTTGTATTACAACACATCTAGATTACATCAGGTCAAGATAGTGTGATATAAAAGCTTTAAAAGAAAGCATCAGGTTTTTATGTGAGAGATACTTGAAGCTCCAAGGCTATTTGCAATCTTTGAAAACTTTTGGGCTCTTCTAAGAAGTATCACAAAACGATAATTCTTAATGTGACAGAAACATAAAATTATTAAATATACAATAGAGAGTAATTGTTATATTTTTGATAATTCAAAATAAATGGAAGTAAAATAAAATTGAGTATAGTCCCTGGTACACCAATCATAGGCCAAATGCAGCCACCCACACAATCTGGAAAAAATTGTGAACCTCGTACATATACATAGGAACACAAACACAAAACAGCTGTGAGTTCTTATCATTTATAAAGTTCTTATCATTTATAAACTTACTTGTTTTAAATCTGAAAAGCGAGAGTACAAATCAGCTCAATCAGAAGATGGTCAAATTTATACGGGCCAATCCCTGTTGTGTATGACCAGAGGAAAATCAATTTTCCTTTTTCTGTTTGCCCTCCGTATTTGCTGACCAGATGAACTGTGTACTTAGAGCTGAAGCAATTGCTTTTAATCAATGGGCATTTTAAAGTTCAGCTCTCCTTTCTGAGTTTTTCCTCCTGCCGGTTTAGTAGATCAATTATGCTTACCCTTTAGTTTCCCTTCCCTCTCCAACTCGTAGCAATGAAAACAGAAGAGCTAATTTATCCCATGTGTTAATGTTTCAGCATGTTTTGAGCTTGCCCAGAGCTTGCAAGCTTGTAACCTGAACTTGAAAAAAAATGTTTACCTTTAAAATAAAGGTACACACACACACATACACACACATACACACACACACACACATTTCCTATTTTGCCCTATTGCAAGTGAAGCCAGTTTTGGAAATCGTGTTACATGTTATATCATTCATTGAATATGAACCTTATTTTTTTTTTACAAACTGATCTCTGCTTTGTGATTATCTTAATAATCTTTATTTGTAAACTATGGTGGTGGGTGATGTAGGAATTTGATAGCTAGCTAGCTAGCTAGCTAGATTGATAGATAAATGACAAATAGATAAAGTTGTTCTGCATGCATAAAACCTCTGACCTGTTGCAAATCTTAATTCATGGATCAGTGTCTTTATTGCTCCTTATCCTATACCTTTATTGCTCCTTATCCTATACCTCATGAAGCATTTTTTGCTATATGGAGTGCCACAAATAAGAACTCTTGGGATCCGTCACTTGGCTGTCTAGCTAGCAGGCATCCTGCATCCTTCTTATCCTCTGCAGGTTTATATGGAATGGCTCAGTAAGATCAAATGACAGGGCTGACAGTGATTATTTGCCTTAGGGGAGGGGGCATTGTCAAGGGAAAAACTGCCCCAGGGCACTCAGGAACTGTTGACAAAAGGCAAGAGCTGTTGACAAAAATTTTCAGCTGAATGAAGATCAATTTATCCATGCCCATTAAAGATCCCCTGTCATCTGTAGTACTGTGTCCATTATTATTCAGAGGTATGTTAAACATTCTATAGAAGAAATTATTTCTTTGTTAACATACTCCCTTGTTGCACATAGTCATATAAGTATTGTCCATGAATTCTCATCTTGATTGATGACTAAGGAATGTTGTCAGTGACAGAGATAGAGGATCACCATGAAGCCTTGTCAATCAGCCATGAAGCTGAAATGTCAAACAGCCTGCCTGGGGATGACCAGGACGAGTGCCTTGCCTATCCAGGAGAGCTTTGTCAACACCTCTGTATCAACACTGTGGGGTCCTACAAGTGCTCGTGTTTCCCAAGTTTTACTTTGCAAGATGATGGACTCAGCTGCAATCCAGGTGAGAAAATAAACCCAGGTGAGAAAATGTATGTTGGCCCTAACTATAACAGTTAGGTTAGTGTTCCTTCATTAATGAAGAACCCGTTAGCTTCTAAATATATTCACAATTTAGTGACTTAAATATTGGGTGAACTTTGATCTTCAGCATTTTTTGTTTGTTTGTTTTATTTTTCTTGTTACAAAGATGCTTCAAACATCACAGGCTGAGAATACCTATTTGAGCCCTTTTTCAATAAATCCACCATCCTAAAGAACAAATAATATTGTAAGCCACCCAGAGTTTCTCTGTGGTAAGATTATCCAATAAATTGGATAAATACATAAAAATAAAGGAATACAAATCAGTTGTACTTATCCTCATACGTGTATAAAAGTTTAACAAGGATTTTTCAAAAACCAACTAGATAGTCCACTACAAACATTTAGCATTCTTTCTTATTTTCTAGGGCTTGTTTTTCATTCAAACAGTGTTACATCCTGAATAATTGGACATTCGTAACTATCTCTAGGAGACTGCCAGTGATGTGCAACTGTAACTATCTTGTTTTACTTAGTAGAAACTAATTTAGGAACTAATGAACTTTTATGGTGGATATCTGAGTATTCTACTTAAGCAGCCAAAATGGCTTTATTATTTTGGATCAACCAGATGACAGTCTTCAAGAACATCCCTGTGGAAATAAGAAAATATTTTTCATTGTCAGTTGGTTCATTCCAAATGTTCTTCTTGCAGTCATCTATCAGGTGCAGTCCTACTGAAAGTCCTACTTAAATAACTTTGCAAGACTATTTGTCATGATAACTACATACTGTTTCCAGGATCCAGAGCAATGGGCTCTCTTGCTGGGAAATGGAAATTACCAGCAAACAGCAGCCCTTTTGAGGGTAATGGGGTTCTGACCACTATATCTGGGTAACTAACATGGACTTTAATCCAGCAATTTCTTAAGATCTACTAGTAGACATTGTACTACAGGTAGTTCTCAACTTACAACTAAAATTGGGGCCAGAATTTCCATTGCTAAGCAAGACAGTTGTTAAGTGTCTTGTTTTTATGACCTTTTTTTGCCACGATTGTTAAAAAAATCACTGCAGTTGTTAAATGAATCCAGCTTCCCCCACTGATTTTGCTTATCAGAAGCTGGCGAGCTGGAGAGTTGCAAATGGCAATAAATATATGTCGGTCATAAATACATGCCAGTTGCCAAATGCCCAAATTTTGATCATGTGACCATGGGGATGCTGCTGTAGTCATACATGCAAGGATTAGACATAAGTTACTTTTTTTAGTGCTGTTGCAACTTTGAATGGTTGCTAAATGAATGGTCATATGTTGAGGGCTACTACCTGTATATCTTCCAATTTTAATTCATATTTATAGATATTTCCAATGTTCTAAATGTCTTTATAAAGCTTATCTTTATGAAGTGGAATAAGTAGCTTATTTACTTTTTGCATTTTGAGGCACAAATTATTCCCCTTCTGAGTGTTTCTGATTTTTTTAAAGGAAAAAGAACTGCAGGAAAATTTGTATTTTCAGTTTGTCATGCCTCCTAATATTTATATGTTTTTCTGAATACAAATAGTTTTACAAGCAGCTCCCTGCAATAAATACATATATTTTATAGTGCATGGTATTTTGTACAACTTATGCATAACTTTACATATCTTTTTAAAACTATGTATTTTATATATACTTTAAAAATCAGAGATCTACATTTCAAAAGTTGTAGAAGTGCAAGAGCAAATTATATCTGGTTTATGCTGTAATTTGCAGAATGCAAATTGGGTAGATAAATATTAAAATGAGGACCAAGTATAATTCTCCCCCATCCCTGCTGAAAGCATGGAAATAATCACACTGATAAAAAGTAAAATCCAAAACATGTAAGCATTTCCAGGACAACCATCAGGCTCATATATAAGCTGATAAAAAGTTTAAATTGACAGTTGGAATGTCTTTTTACCTTCTTCTCCCACCTGATAGAGAAATAAGCACAGCATATGTCATGAGATTATTGAATTGTGCATTAGTAATCTCAGCTAAGCCTCATCGTACTGCTTCAGGTGATCCACTAAACATGGAAAGTAAAAAAGGGGAAAAGAAACATGGAAGTGGAAGAACTATATATTTCATGTAGTCTAGGTCTGAAAATGGATTAGTTTACTTTGAGTTTTTTGTTAGTAAATAGCACAAGGAGAAATCAGGTATTAAAAACAATGCTATGGAATGGATCAGAGATTATATTCACACTCAGTCAGGAACCAACAAACTATATTTAAGCTTAGCGTGTTGAGCAGATTCAATCACATGAATATATTGAGCTTAAACACAAACCCTCAAAATTAACCAGGTAGAAATAGTTAAGGGTAAGATAATCTTGACTTGTGCAAATACTGCTGAAAAGTAGAATCTTCTTGAAAACTCTCTGGCCTGTTCAATGCAATGATTTCAATTCTTTTTCCAAAGAGAAGGAAATATAGGAAAGTACTATCTTAAACCTCTGCTTTCCTTCCACTGTTCATAAAGGGTTGGAGTTCATGCATGTAGTCCTTGCTTAACGACTGCCGTGTTTAGTGACCATTCAAAGTTACAGCACTGAAAAAAATGGCTTTGTGTCTTGTCCTCGCACTTATAACCATCACAGCATCTCTGAAGTCATCAGGTGAACATTCAGGTATTTTGCAACCAGCGGGCACTTATGACCATTAGAGCAGGGGTCCCCAACCCCCAATCCATGGACCAGCATTGGGCATGCCAGAAACCAGGCCGTACAAACAAGCGAAGCCCCATCCGTGACATGAAGGCAACATGCTAAACCACGCTACCTCTGGTCTGTGGAAAAACCTCTCTCCACAGAACCGGTCCCTGGTGCCCACATTATAGTACCCCACAATTATACGATTGATTGCCTTTGTGTACTTTGTAGCTGGCTTCTGACAAGCAGAGTCAATGGAGAAGCTGGCAGTAAAAGTGCAAGTCAAGGTCATGTGGTGTCTCCTTCAATGACTATGACACTTATTGACAGAGTTATTGGTCCCAATTGTGGTTATTAAGCAAGCACTACATGTATTCACAATGGTTAGATTACCTTCCTCTGCTTACCTATATGCACCCACTTTCTGATTTTTGCTCCTAGCAATAAGGCAGAAAATGGAATAGTAATCCAATTTTACTGGTAAGATCAAGGCTGCTAGTTTCATGAGCCAGTTAAGATGGAAAGCATTCAGATCTTTAGAAAACTATCTTCTCCACTGAAAGGGCGGCAGTTTTGGGGTGAATTGGAGTGAATCAATGTAAACCTAGTGAACTCATGAAGTAAAGGTAGTCCAATATGATTTCCTTATCCAGAAAACCTTGTGGCTCTTAATTATACCTCAAGCCTTTTTATTTTGAAAAGTTGGTCTAAGGCTAAGCATTTATTTTTTCCCTGCCAACATCAATAAACATTCCCCTTTTTCTACCACTATGCTTTTGTCCTATTTTTGTTTCTTTATATTCTTTTCAGGAAAACTCTAGAAAATATCTGCACAAAACTCATGATTTTTCCTAAGAAAAAATCACATTTTATTTGCAGAATAATTAGCAAGATTTTGGTTCAGTCCAAAATGGACAATCTGTTAGCCATGTGTTGCATCTTGTTTTTACCATTCTATCCCATCTTTATAAATTCATTTGGTTCACATTTTTATCTTTATTCTCAGTCCTCGGTGAGAATAATTTTTTGCTTCTGTTTATTTCAAAATATTTCCACTCATGGAAAATTAAGGAAGAAAACTAAAATGTGTAAAACTGGATTTAATTTACATTGATTTCATCTTAGCCAGTAGCTTTTATTAGAAAATTCAGTTAAATTGGGCAACACTCATTCTAATTACAGAGAACAAATAATGTTAGCTTATTTTTATAAATATATATTTTCCTCATTGGAGTTCTGTTTTTAAATATATAATGTGTGCAGTTCTTAAAATTTGTGCAATAAAGATAAAACCTTTCTGGTGTTATAATTTGAGATCTTTTCATAGATGCTGATGTTTTAAATTTAAATTCAAATCAGGGAGTAAATTGTGCTGAGATGTCAGACTTACATCAAGTTTGTTACCATGGAAAATAACTCAGTTTATACAGTATATACTCTATTGCACTTGTTAGGTTTCTTAAAGGAACAACAATGCAAAAATCTGAAACCTGACATTTAACATTACAGCTCTTCCTCTATTATGATTTAAATGGGCATTTGTCCATTTTTATTAACAGGTACTTACAATGCTAAAAATATTTGGTTACAATGCAAAATTCAGGATAGCACAAAGATTTCATAGTTAAAAATCCATATGTGAAACAATGTGTTGATTCTGTAATACTAATTTCATAGTGGATTAATATTGGCATTTTCTTTTTTCAAATTATATTTATTCACATCCATTTGTGTCTACACAAGTCAAAATTTAACTCTTTAAATATTACTTTAAGTGAAAAATACTTAAATTCCAACTTAATGGTGTTTTTTTTCTTTTTATGGCCCTGTAATCAGCTTAATGGATTTCAGGTGTTCATTTTCTGAAGAGATTGTTTATGTAGCATCAAGTACATAAACAGCAAACAGCAGCCCTTTTGAGGGTTATGGGATTTTGACCCTAGGTAACTAATATGGCCTTTGATCCAGCAATATCTTCTGAAGACAGATCTATTAATAGACATTGCACTACAGGTACTACAGAACAGGAGGTATATGTTTATGTACCATCAAGCGTCAGATCTTAGTGACCACATGAATAGATTTTCTCCATGATATTCATGAATGGACCATGTTTATAGTTTAATCAGATTGCACACCTGTTGGCATTCCTAACTTCAAAGTAATGAATGAATCACCCTAATGAATACCACCTGGGGCATTTGAACTTTTTTTAAAAAAAAAACATTTTTATTTGTTTGTCTTTATCTTAATTTTTTTACTCGAAATGTTCCTGTTAAGGAGTTGTAAGTTAAGGAGTTATATATAATTATGTTCCTCTAACAGGAATGTATGTATGTATGTATGTATGTATGTATCCTGGTTAGAACTCTGACGAAAGCTAAGTTTTTAAATAAATTCTTCAGTCGGTGATCTGTGTTTTAGTTTTTGAATATATGTATGTGTGTGTATAAACCTTTTATAAAATTATATAAGTTTCACACACGCATACACACAGTTTATATATATACTGTATTGTGTTTGTGTGTGTGTGTGTGTATATATATATATATATATACACAAACACAATTTTATTAAAAAAATTAGAACAAAAATTAAAAATGATACAAACTGATATAAACAAGAAATAAAAAAGAAAAAGAAAAAAGAGATATGTAAAAGTGCAAAAAAGAAAGAAGGAAAAATAAAAAGGAAAGAAAAAATACAAAAGAATTGGCTTCTGATCTTCTTTACAGCAGTTATAGGTACAATTATAAATTTATCTCTTTCTCTAATTATATCATGACTGTCTCCTTTCTATAATCTGTCTAATCATTAAAACAGATTTTTTTCTGTTTTATACAAAAAGTCCATAAGGTATTTCCAGCCAGCAGTAAACATATTCTCTTTTTTCTGATCAAAAAAATCAATCATCTTCATCATTCCTTCATCGTAGATGTGACCAATTCTTCTGATCTTTGTGCATATAAAATCTCACTGTAGTTATTCACACAGAGAGAGAGGGAGAGAAAGGGAGGAAGGGAGGGAGGGGGAGGGAGAGGGAGAGGGAGAGAAATTCAGGATTTTTTCCAACTGCTTATTCATCAATACTAAGAGGAAGATTTCTGGTCTCAGTTATATATTTATCTTTCAAAGCCACTGATTCAGTATATGCATTAGAATTCAACGTTCTATAGCTTTTTTACATTTCCACAAAGCATAATAAAATAACCTTTCTTGTTGTTCACATTTCCAACATAAATTTGAAGTCCCTTTATACATTCTAGACAATTTTTCTAGTGACAAATATCAAAGACACTTTCCTTTGCATCTTGTAATGTATCTTATATTTAACTCATATTTTTTCCTTGCCATACAAACTTTTATATATATATATATATATATATATATATNAACACCTAGCTTTCGCCGGCCTCCTGCCGGCTTCGTCAGGGTGACTAGCCATCAGTGGGGTAGCTGTTTTTATAGGAGCGGTGCCTTTTGCACCCGGCTCCTAGATCTCGTGACCGGGCCCCGGTAATCCTCTTGCGTTAAACTCTTAGTCGTTCTTCCGCATACTGCTGCGCTCCTAGCCTTCTCTTTCCCACCCCTTCTCTTTTCTTGCCTAGTTTGCTTGTCAGGGGAGGGGGGAGGAGGAGGTATCCCTCCATGCAGGGCATCGCCTTGCTGTTTGCCACCTCCTTTCCTCTTTCCAGTTACCTGCGATCTCACCTTCTTCTTCTCTTCCTTCTTTCCCATGGTACTATCTAACTCATTCACCACTCGTACTCCCACCACTCTCATCACTCCCTCCTTCTCACCCTCCTCGTGCCCACTCCTCCCCTTTTCATTAACCTTCTCCTGTTGTTTCTCTGGCGTGGGGGTATTCCCTCCTACATGGTTACCTTCCTGCCGTGCACTCCCCCCATTCTCGATCTCCGTATCGCCTTTCCACGATCTTTCCCATTCCCTCCTCTCCTTTCCCTTTCTGGCCTCAGCTCTCCGGTTGGATCTTTCTTCCATGCACATATGGGTGTCGGTTTCCTCCTCCCCCTCTTTCCTCTGGTGGGGGACCATTGGGGGTGTGAAGGTATTCTCTCCCTCACAGCTCCCTGGTCCTGCCCTCCTCTCCTCGCCCTTTCTAACCCCCGTTCCCCTGTTCGATCTTTCCTCCATGTGCACATGAGTGCTGGTCTCTTCCTCCCCACCCTTTCTCAAGCACGAGCGAGTGCTGGTCCCTTCCCCTCCACTCTTTCTCAGGCGCGAGGCTGTTGGGGGTTTGGGGATGTTCCCTCCTGCACGTCCCTCTTTCTGTTGCCTCCCCCCACTCTCGATCTCCATAGCAGGTTCTCCGTTGTTTCCCCAATCCACTTCCCATTCTTTCCTCACTGCTCCCTTCCCCCACGCCAGAGAAACAACAGGAGAAGGTTAATGAAAAGGGGAGGAGTGGGCACGAGGAGGGTGAGAAGGAGGGAGTGATGAGAGTGGTGGGAGTATGAGTGGTGAATGAGTTAGATAGTACCATGGGAAAGAAGGAAGAGAAGAAGAAGGTGAGATCGCAGGCAACTGGAAAGAGGAAAGGAGGTGGCAAACAGCAAGGTGATGCCCTGCATGGAGGGATACCTCCTCCTCCCCCCTCCCCTGACAAGCAAACTAGGCAAGAAAAGAAAAGGGGTGGGAAAGAGAAGGCTAGGAGCGCAGCAGTATGCGGAAGAACGACTAAGAGTTTAACGCAAGAGGATTACCGGGGCCCGGTCACGAGA